ACTACCTCATCTCGAAATGCAGAGTTGCTCTCCTTTGCTGTTAGGTAAACCTGATGGGCCAGCTTCCTGTCCTGCGCTGCCTTCTTTTGATTTCTTTACACTATGGATGAATTTGGCTTAGTGAGTCACTGAGTAGTAAATTGTATATTAACTGTGCAAGCAAAAAAGTATTTAAAATTATCTAATATACGTTGCAGTCAACTGACAAATGTAGCTAGCTCATGCAGATTGTGGGAATTGACACAGAGTGGGCTGGCTCAGCAAAGGACTTGGCCAGATTTCCCTGCAAAATTAAAGAGAAAACCTACAGCATCACACAGTTCTTCATAAACTTCACTGCAGACAGTTAGTGCTATGCAAACAACTGTGTGTCACCAAGGGACACTATCAACTTCGAAATTACATTTCTGTCTGAAAAATGATTTAAAATTTTACTTTTATTTGAGTTTACTCCAACTTAAAGAAGTTAACAGGAGTGTTCAGTCATTTACCATTTGTTAGTGTACTGGACAGACCTTTATGTAATAATTTAGCTTTTCTCAGAAAACAAAAAAATTTATTTTGGATACAGCTAAAAAAATATATATGTTAAAGACTTTCTAATTAAAAGATTTCCAGTCAAGAAATGTTAAAGCATTTTTTTTTCAAGTACAAAAAAACAAGCTGGCAGTGGCCTTTAACAGAAGGGTACTCACACTGATATTTAATGTTTGCTATCAAATCTATGTGTCCAAAAATGCAGAATGCCTGTAGTGTAATGCAAAACTACATGTGTGCATTTGCTACAGTGCTGAAAAATGCCTGCACATCAGTAGGAAACAGCAGTGCTGCTTCATTTTTTCTCTATTTCTTGTAGTTTCTTGTGTCTACAAATAGTGGAGTCATGACTAACAGTTACGTTTTGTCTGTGATGAATGTGACAGTTGCAGTTATCTTTTAATTCATACGCATTTTTCAGTTTGGTCTGTGTACAGTGCATAGGAAGTTCCCTGGATTATTAATTTCTGTCTCTGTTTTTTTTCAAAATCTGCTACAGGTTCTCATTTTTTAAGAGAAAGTACACAATCGAATGCCGTATGTATTTGTTTGAAAGACATTTTTGATCATTTAGGAAAAATACTAAAGTGTTGTTTCTAAGTAACACCAATGCTTTCATTTCAGTCCAGGTATTTATTCTGTTGAACAGTCAGGGAGATTTGCCCCGTGAGGTCGAAATTTGCTTGGTTCAGACTCCTCTGAGTAAGAGTTAAGGCAGCAGAAGTGGTTGTGATCTTGTGCCTTGTACAAACAGAGGGAGAGTAGAGAAAGCTAAAGCTAAACCTAGTTTGGAGTTGCCACTAGTGAAGCCTTGCCAGCAGGCAGTAAGCATACTGTGTCTGCAGGTGCACGCTGTCTGTGACTCACTCACGGTACGTTCTTGGGGCGCCCAGTTCCCCCAGGGAAAAGCTGCCTTACGTGGCTTTTGTCACTTGAGTGGTGAAGGGGAGGGTTATTAAGAGTGACAATGCCCATACATAGCTTTATGACCTTCCGTACGGAATGAATATTTTAAAGCTTAACCCTCAGTGGTGCCCAGTTTGTTCTGGCGAGCCCGTCTCAGGTGGGGAGCTGGGTTCATTCCACCCTCATGCTCTCCCTTCCTATAGTGTATCTGTCAGCTCTAGCTGAGAGCAAAGGTGCTAATCACCACGGCACTTTTTGTGAGGAAACCTGTCTTCTAGAGGTAGCACCAACAACCATTACTGCATTCAATGTCTGCCGAGTAGACTTCCAGTCATTGCTGACTTGTGCTGATTCACAGGGCAGACTGAAAATGAAAACATTTGTGCTAGCTTCCAGCCCTTGGAACTGCTCAGATCCAGTAATATGACAGTAGCACAGTCTGATTTAAACACTGCAGTGAGGAATTGAAAAGGCAAAAGGAAAATCCTTTTTATGTTCCCTCAGCAGCCCTGTGTTAAATAATATTTACAGTTGTGAGATAGTGTTTCTATTTTCTTCTATGTTCAATGTTTCTATTTTTCTTCGTTTCTTTGCCTTATTATTTTGCTGAAAATACCTTTGTACACGCCTGTCCAAAGGAAGATAGATTTTCCCTGGCAGTTACTGTAAACGTGTTGAGTGTTCAGCCATCCTTTAGTTAGTTGCTCATTGAACTAGCGCTTCGTAAATGCTGCCTAAGGATAGAAGAAAATGAGCCAGATTTCTCTAGGCTCTCAATAGGGTTGCTGAAGGAAGGGTAGCATCCCAAGTTTTAAAGGCGGCACTGCTTTTCCTCATGCATTTCCTGATGGCTTCCTGCTGTGGAACTTGCTGTGGTGGACCTCGGTTAACATATATATATATAGCTGAACCTATGGGCTCATGAGTAACTTGTACTTAAGTGTTTTGTGGAGCTTCTCAGTAAGGAGTGAGGGAGGTGCTTACAGAGGAGCTGGGATGCTTTTGTCTGAAAGTATTCTGCTCGGGGCCTGAGTTGAGGCTGCAGGAGTGCTTTGGTTGTACCAAAAAGATGCACACTGACACCTCGTGCCTACATCACATCACATCATGCTGGCAAATTCAGAGTCATTAAGGGATTTGAGGAGCTGCTGTTGTGCATCTCTTCCTCCACATATAAACCTCGAGCATACAGGTTCATGGGGAAATTGCTGTGAATAGCCTTATTTCTACGCTGCATTTGTAAAATGTTTTGGAAGTAAAATGTTCTTTTTAGGAGTACAGACAAGCAGCATTTAGCAGTGCTTAGTGTCTACGTGGAGCCTCATCATTTTTTGTAAAGGAAAGAGAGCACTGCATTCTCTCTTCTGGCTAGCAACTCTCTCAGCCAGACTTGGCCAGTGCTTCACATACCATTTCTGAGTAAGCGTTGGCAGCTTCACTTTCCCGTTCATTGACGGTATGAGGCTGGGCTCTGAAAGCACTGTATCTCCCACGGCAATGTCCCCCTCTACAAAACAGGATTAAGTGCTGTTATCCAGGTTTGAAGTGCCAAGATAGAGCTCAGCACAGTCATTCCAGGCCAAGTGAGGCAATCGGGCTCATGGGGTTTGGCAAAACCGTGCATAGGAACAGTGTCGTTCTGCAATTAGTTAGTGCTGCTATGGTTGGCATAAATTCAGAGTTGGTTGGGATTTAATATGTTTGTATTTGTAATGAAGAGGAGATACACGTATTCATCACAGTCACTTACCTTTTTCTGCACAGATCTTGTCACGGTCACCCCTCACGCGTAGGCCTGCCCAGCTCTCTGTCATTAGTACTGTTCTTTAATGAAGAAATTAGTGTTTTGATCTTCGCAAGGCATGCAGCTGCAGTTAGACTCTTCATGTCTGTAGCGTCTGTCAAAATCTGACCTTGATGTTGCTATTGGCAGAAAACATCCATACCAGTTATGCTTTTATGGGAATTTAATTTCAGTCATGAGTTGGTTGATTTACTTTTTTTTTTTTTTAATTGCATCTTCTGAAAGCCGGCTAAAAAATTAGGAAAGATGCCATTGGATTTTTTAATGGGAATTCACCATTGGTTCATTCTGTGTTCTTTCTTTATTCCTCTTTCCTAGCTATTGATGCTATTTATAGCTGTTGTGCATAATAGAGGAGGATCACAGTGATATTTTTCTCCCGTATCCTATGACTTTCTGGGATTTTATAATAAGACAACTGCCCTGTACTCTAGAGAAGAATAAGAGCCTCTGCTCTTCAGATTTGTGAAACGTCAGTATCTTTAGGCATCAAGAAGGGGCAGTGCTTCTTTTCTTTTCTTAGAAAATAGTAAGTACTGACATATCAAAGAAGGCAAGAAAAGAGAATCTTACCCCGTTCCAACTGAGGAGGCCGCACAGTGGATCTTATATAGACTTGGGGTGGGGTGGGGAGGGTTGGTAATCTAAATCTCAAAAGTCTAAAAGAGAAATTTTAGGAGAATGGAAAGTCTAGTGAACATTTGAACTTGGAACTTGTTTATGGAAGTTTCACTGAGTCAATATAGTGGTTGCAAAGCAATACCTGCTTTTATAATACAGAAGTGTAGCTATTTCTAGATCTTCATTATTATTCAGCAGAAATGTGTAATGCTTAAATAAGACAAAAAATGATCCCCCAAACAGATAAAGGACTAAATGTTAATCTAGAATTATAATAACATTCATCATCATCTTTTCCCCCTAATCTATTTTACTAGACTATTTTGAGGATTGTGGTCCTTGGCATATGGGATTACATTGAAAACAAAATAGAGGTAAGCACTCTTACTCTTCATTCTGTTTTCCAGGCAGACACAGTAAGAATATTAAGAACTGCTTTGAGTGGCCATGTAATAGGCCTGGTACAATACAATATCTTAACTCAGATAAACATGCACATTCTTCTCATTATATACGTGTGTACAAAGCTGTATGATACAGTCCCTTTTTCTGTGAGAGGCTCAGAAGAGTGCGGTGTTTGGAAATACTTTATAAAAGGGATTGTGAGGTTTTTGCTCTATGTGTCTATTTAGTTGTCAGTGCTAGTCTTAACTGATCATACTGCTACCCGGAAATAATGAGCAATATGAGTAAAAGTTGTCATGTGATTTATGTAACCCCATTCCTGTAATCAAGTTGAAATTAGAACTGATTGAAAAATTGTGTGCAGTTTTCTGATAGAAAATACTAGTTTGGCAAAGCCCAATTTTATTGCAAAATTATTTTTTCATTACATTGAATTGTGATAAATACTGTAATTTGTACCTCGAAATAAAAATGGGGTGGAATGCGTATACTGTTGCAGAGGCAGATAAGGAAATGCATGTTTTATAAGTAACACATAATCTCAATCTGAGCAGAAATCTGGACATCAGGGAAATTAAAAGCTCTTTCTTGATACTGTCTCACAAACTAATTCTGCATGGGATGCACCAGAAGAAAATCGGGGTTTTCTCAGTGCTTAAGTGAGTCTAGAGGCTTGCACATTTTTGTAATAAAATATGTAAACCTTTCAACTTGTTTTGCTAAAAAAATGAAGTGAAACAAATTTTTGATCCAGAGATTTTTATTATTCAGGTTAAATGCAGCAGTTTCTGATAATTTATTCTGGTAATTTGTAATGGAGTGATAGTGTTCACTGCCCATCAAACCATGGCAGTAACAAGTGTTTCTTTTCAATACACTGAATTGTTAGGCACAATTCTGAATGTGTCGTCCTTATAAAATCTATGTCCTGCCTCCTTATGCAAACCAGCCTCCTTATGCAAAGCATTAATCAGTGGTCTTTGGTAGCTGGGAAGGGTCTCAGTAGGAATTAGAATGTGGTATTCTGTTGTACCCTGCTAGGTGAGTGTAGGACAGGCACCATGCTATTGGCAGTTTGCTCTGAAATGTATTTACTCATGCATTTCTGTCTAATACTTTGCACAATTGCCTTTTCTGATCTAATCCGCGATACAACCAATGTCACACAAACCATTCTGAATAGTCCCAGTTGTCAAAATCCTTGAAATCCTAGCTGCCCAATAAAGGTGAGAGCAGGGAGTTTTTCTGTCTTGCTGCACGGCTGTTCCCACACTTGTCGTGTAGTCAGGACGTGGCCAAGAGCCATCAAGCCTCTTTGCTCCATCTTTTTCTACTTCTCTTCTTGATCTCTTCATTTAGACGGTAAGATCTATGGGCAGGGACCTTTTTTGAGATGGCATTATGCCAAGTAACAGGTAATAAATACCCATGATAACAAAACTCTTTGGCTGTAATAGCATTTAGGATATCACTTCTGCTTGGGGATTTTGGCCTGCATTTCCAAATACCTTTCTCTAAAAAAAACCCCACCGCAATTTATCTCTCCTCACCTCATAAAATGCAGTAAGGAATGCTGTTGTGCTACCTAAAAAGGATGCAGCCTTTCTGGGGCTTGGCCACCTCTCATATCCCTTTCAAAATATGCACCATAATTGCATTTCTTTTGGCCAAAGCAGGAGCCCTTCAAGACAAAAAATGGCAGGGTTACGATCTTTAGGAAGGGTTTGAAAAAACTGATTTCTCTCTAGGTGTTTGATGGTGCTGTCATAATCTTGTCCTTGGCACCAATGGTGGCCTCAACAGTGGCTAACGGCCCCAGCAGCCCATGGGATGCTATCAGCCTTATTATCACACTACGAATATGGAGAGTGAAGAGGATCATTGATGGTGAGTGGAGATTCAGTTTGTGACTCCAAGAATTACCTGGCAGGCTGGGAAAAAAAGAGATTTTAAAAATATTGAAAGATTGCTTACTACCACTGTTTCTGTTGTTCTCCTTCCTCTTAGTTTGTAAAAGCACTGAACAGGAGAGAGTTATGACTCCCATGGAGGAGAGTAGGTCTCAAGTTCATGGCTGTATCTCCTGTTCCCTATGAGCCTTTATAATTGGTTGGTTTGTTTTTCTGTTAGGTACCTTCACATCCCCTATTCTGTAAAGTAAATGCCCCGGCCTGCTTCCTGTCTCTTGCCACCAGATGTCATTCCTGATTCTGCAAAATAATTGCTTCCAATCTGCTTTTCTGATACTTACTGCACCCTCCCGATTTCCACACAGCTAGCTCTGTCTTGGGGCTTGCTTTTCCAGGTTCTTTTCCGTAACACTATTTTTATGTCAGATTCCAGGAGCATTTTCTTACCATGGGAGTTCCATGTTGAAGGTGCTCTCTGCAGTGCTGGTGTGCTGTACAGCATAACAGTGAAGCATGTATCAATACTGTTTTGCACAGACCTCTGTGGGAAAGCACCAGAGGAGATGAGAAACCCTCTGCAAGTCAAAGTTGCAGAGAGTGGAATCGGTGGCTGTGCCTGGAAGCAAGGATTTTAGCATAGGCTACTTTGTGTTCAGTGGTTTCAGGCATTTCAGGTTACAGGGAAAAAAGGTGGAAAAAGAATAAATGAAGGTAATTTTGCTCATGTGTGTAAGGTCAGAGTCGAGTTATTATTTTGGCTTTAGATGCCCAGGAAACTCTGAATACAGAGTTGAGGAAAGGTCGTAGCCCTCTGACTGAAGCATACAAGAGAAGTTCAGGATCTTGTGTAGCTTCAGAAAACGTCAAGAATTGCAATATGCATTGACCAGCTTTGCTGGTCAGTCTGAGTTTGCTGTAGTGTTATGACAGGAGCAACATTTCCAGAGGCGTTCAGAAGACCTATTGAAAACTAGGCTGTAGCTTGAAAAGCAGTAGAAGATAAATTCCTTTTTGATTTTAAAAATATCCTACTTAGTCTGCTGTTTCCATTAAGGACTTATTTCTTACCACAAAGTCTACGAATTAAGTGCTTAGGCCCTAGCATAGTTCTTTTCCTAAGGGAGCCATGCTGGTCAGGTTTAGAGAGGATGGGCCTAACTCTAAGCAGAAAATCCTCCTACCCAGCAATTCAGGAAATCTGTGGTAAACACTGGAAAAGATCTGTATTGGTGGAGCAGAAGCTAGGAAGAGCATGCAAGATGCGTTTCAGCTCAGACAGTCAAATGGAGGTCTGACCAGACAAGATTTAGACCCTGCCGATGACCTGCATTTCACGTGTTAGAAATCCTTCCCCAGAAGAAATACTCTAGTGCTATTTCTGTAAGAAATGCTCTAGTTCTCTAGATGTAAGTGAAAGGGGTGACATGCTTTGGCCTGTAAAGGTCTGCAAAGGTTTTCCCTCTGATAAGAAAACAAATCACAGCTGGGTTACTTTAAGTGCTTGTTTGTGTTTTCCAGCCTATGTCCTTCCAGTGAAAGTGGAGATGGAGATGATGATTCAGCAATATGAGAAGGCAAAGGTTATTCAAGATGAGCAGCTGGAAAGACTAACCCAGATCTGCCAAGAACAAGGGGTAAAGTTCAGTTATGTCTTTATTTACGCATAGCTTGTCATGGCAAATCAAACAGATTGTACTTTGCTGCAAGCTAAGGTTTGAGAAGTATCACTAGGACTGCTGTTGTAAGGTGACAGGTCTCCTTGTTAAGGAAGTGTTAGCTGCAGCCAGGATATTATCAGCATGCTATTTGTCAAACAGCAGTTGTCTCTCTTTGCTGCTGTGCTTCTGGTTTTTAAGGTGAGGAAAACAAATGTAAAGAACAGAAAAAGAAAGCTTCCCATATGTAATTTATTGAACGAGTACAGATAGCTTGACATAATACTAAGAACATGGAAGAGTCGTTGCCGGTGTTGGAGACTGCAGCTATATTAAGGCTGTATTCCTAGGAAAAGCATATGCAGTTGAAAGCTAATGAATCTCCCTGCTTTAAATGCAGAAGGCAGCTTCCTTGTAGGTCAGTCAGAGACTCTTGGCAGACTCAAAATGTTGCAATAGAAGCTTCTAGTTGCTGGAAACAAGTCAAGATTTAAGAGTCTTCCCAGGCCGCTAAATGTTCAGTGTCTCAGTGAACTTCACTTCATCAAGTGAAGATGAAGCTTAAAATATCTCAAATCAATATATTTACACTAAAAATGTGTAAAACCGCTGTTTGGGCAATGAGCCAGGAATTTTCGCAGTTTGTCTTATGCAAATGAGTTCCTGAATAACCTGCTTTGAGGTAGAAACCAGGCATGTGTGTTGAGGCTCAGGCTAAGCGGGGCATTCAGGTGACCATCAAACCACAGCAGAATGATCCCTCAAGTGACTTCTCGTTTCAGTTGTAAGAGTAGCTAAGAGGTGCCCAAATAAACCTGGAGATTTCTAGCTTCCACTCCCACTGACCACTTGTGGGTAGGTGCTTTTCACATATAAAATGAGGAGACCTGTGAGTCTGAATGACTCAATCAGTCAAGAAGTTGAGGGACCTGAGCAGATAGGAGGAGAAGCAACTTGTCTCGGAACAGGCCAACTGCCCAAAAGGTGCATAATCTGAAGTAAAGATTTAGGTGCCCATCTTTTACTGAGAAACTGAAAATACTTGTGAAACCATCAGTATTTAGATCCCCAAATGACTTTTTAGATTTACTTCCAGGTGTCCTGGATCTCAGCCTAGGATTCTGCAATGAACTCTTGGTGGTGTTAGGTTGCCTTGTCTGTGTGATGAATTTAGAAGACCTGTCAACAGTGTGTGTCACTTCCTAACGGTTTCTGGCAGTCTCTCATGTTAATCATAACAAATTTCTAAACTTTAGGCTTGACTTTTGCCAAAAATTAGTTACTTTCAACTATGTAAGTATCTTCAGTGGCAAAACCGCGGTTCTCTTCATCTCAACTTTGCACAGTGATATTAAGTGGTGGATATTAAATGATTAATGCTTCTGTCATAGTTGTGAAATGAGCAGGGAAATGGTATATACCCCGTTTTACAGGGGGAAGATTATCCTTTGACCAAGTGCATTGGGCAAATCAGCGATTTTTGAGTCCCATTGCAGTATTTTGCCTGTCAGACCATGCTACTAGGCTAAAGTTCTTGACAGTCATAAATTTGAAAACATTCATTTTTAGGAAGTGTATTGCAGAGCCAGATAACACTCTCAATCTCTAAACAGTTTTTGATGGTACTATTTCGTGGGCTTGTTGTCCCAAGTGGGTTTCAGGAGCATCTTTTACTGCTCTCCATTCTGATCCACATACTCCTTACCGGAATGCCTGGCGTGCAGAATGTCTGAGCATAGTAGCCCTAAGCTGAGCTCTGACGGTTACAGTGTAGCCGTGCATCAAGAACAAAGAAATACTGCGTTGGAGATGAGTAAATCTGGGAAAACAGAGCAGGTTCTCTCCTAGCTTTCAAGTGTCATCAGCTCTGGAAAAATATGGACTATAGAAAAATGACAGCGTACTAATCCCTCTTATTTTACCATCCTGACTTCCTGCCAAACAAATGTCTAAGCTGTATAATATGAGGTAAATGTACTAATTTGCTACAGTTAGCAACATAAGACATTGATACAAGTACTGCATCCTTCCTTCGTAAATTAACAGCTTCATAATTCAGTCAAGAGCAAGTTGTCAGCATTATAATATTCACATTAACATTGTGTACAGTATCTGGTGGGAAAAATCTCTTCTAATGGTATTTAATATCTAAAATTCTGCCAGGTTTTTTACTTTTTCATTTGATCATCCTTCCTGACCTTTTTAAAAGATGGTTCATCGTGGAGTTTAAGCGTGCATGTCTGTGTTTTTGAGTGAAGAGTTGCCTCTAGTAGTCTAGCTGTTCTCAAATCTGGAGTGCCGGCAGGGAGGGATTCCAGTTTGCCTTCTCTGTGTGGTCCAGCCTCTGGCATGGGCAGATGGGATAGCTGGGAGATGCCCATAGAGGTTAACCTGTTGCCTCAGATACATGCTGAGGCACACTATTGCCAGCCCAAGGAGAAAGAATGGGCAAGCCATCACGGTTGCCTGCATCCCAGCAGTGGATGTAGATACTGATTCATCCTGAGGCTGCATCTTTGTGACCACATTGATGATTTGCATTTATTTAATACTTATAGACAGGGCTGAAAACATCCTGTTAAAAAGATTTCCCAGCACTTCATTTTCTGAGATCCTGTGTTCAGTTTCTTACTGCTTTGTCACTTGTCAGGCAATTGGGATTGGAATTATCAATGTCTGGCATCTTCTGCTGATGAAATCGCTTTGAAAGTTTCATTATTTCTGAAGAGGAATTGGGAAAAAAAAGTGATTAGCCTGTTTTGTTCAGGATTTAAAACAAAAATAATTGGTGGCCAGTTCTCTGAGAAGTCCCATGTCCTCCTGTTTTGAAGCTGGTATTTAACACTTGACAGGCAAAAATGGAGTTCCTGCTTTAAAAAAAATAAAAGCAGGAAAGATGCAACCTCCCTTCATCTCACTTTTTGAATTCTGTTTCTTTTGTCAGTTGTATATTTTTTTGACCAGTGATAGGGTGTCACAACTATAAAGTACATTTCCATTCCTGAATGACATTGGAGACATACTTTTGCAAACATGAAAACTCTTTCCAGATGTTGATTTTTGGCTAGCCATACATCTGAAAACCAGAATATATTTTATAAATTATAGTTGCACCGACCACCACTTTGTTCTCTGTAGTACCCCACTGAAACTGTTTGAATAGTTTGCTCTTTTATTTATTCTCCATTGGCCAAGAAAGAAGTCATTAAAAAGGAGTGGAGCAGGAGGGCAATCAAGGCATCAAATACTGAAAGGGCTAAGATGGCTCTTCAGGACTTCACAAAACATGAAAAACACTAGCAATCACTGTAAGAGGGATTTCTAAAAATGGGTAAAGGTAAAAGGTAAAAAAGTCTTACTGCAATTGCTATCAAAAATATGAACAGAGTATATTGCCGACAGTGGTGTTGCGTCAGAATAACTTAAATTCCAGAACAAAGTTCCAAAGTTTCATTAACAATGCAAATTCCAGTCAGGGAAGATTCCTTTTTTCCCCTGGAATCACCTGTGAAGGAATTTCTGTTTCTGATAACACTAGATGATCTTTTCTGCTTAGCTTTCATAAGAGTCATTCATCTGAGTACAGTGCAGTCAAGACTATACATTCAGCCTTATCACGAGAGCTCCTTTTCTGTCAGCTCCTATAGAATTGAGGTTTTCATCATTCTCGAAGCTGCAACAACTATGGAAGCTATAATTTCTTTTTTATCTTGGAATGTAATTTGTACAACAGCTGCTAGTTTAATGACAGGGTTATTTAGCTGGTAAAATTACCTATCGGAGAAATAACTTATGTTATCCTTTTGCAATAATTTTAATTTATTTCTAACTACCAGTCATTTTCTTGGTGAATGGAAGGCAGCCAAGGTCATCCCGTGTTTCATTCTGCCCATAAATCATTAGTTTGCAACTGTCTTCTGATTTTTATTGTTACCAACAATGGCTAAACTAATGGAAATAAACATTGGATTGTATCCCAGTGGCAGATGAGTTTTAGGGCAGGGCATTCTGTACAGACAGCACTAATAGAATTGAGCAAAGTTATTGCTCCTGCATTAGACGCGGGTAAGCTTCTGGCTAAAATGTTCATTGATCTCTCTGAAACTATGTCAATCATATCCTGTTGCCAGACCATTAAAGAGAAGTACTAGATGATTCACTGCTAAGCCCTTTTTTGAGTCTTACATGCATGTTGTAAAATACCAGATAGGATCGGTGGCTCGTTTTATAAAACCAGGCATGTCAACTGAGGTGTTATCTAGAGCTCTGGCTAGGTCTCTATGATTTTACCTGCTTATAAATAATCACCTAGTGCATTCTTTGAGTGAGGAAGTACACAGGTGTGCCCCATAGTTCTTTCTGGTTTGTTTCCTGCCAAAATATTGCTAAGTTTGTGCTGCAAGAGGCCATGTAACAAATTTTGAAAACATTAAATAAGTTTAAATTTACCGTCAATGAACTTTCTCTTCATGCCTGACAGTCTAGTTACTCCTTCTTATGTGAAACAGTCTATATCTCCCTTTTTCCTGATAGTAAGTGTATTTTCACATTTGCCATGTGTATTACATCTTTATGGCTGTCTTCAGCTCCCTCATGGGAGGGTGTAGCCAGGCTCTTCTCAGAGGTGCACAGTGAGAGTAACACAAGCTCGGAACAGGAAAAATCCTATTAAATACAAGAACAAACATTTTTGCTAGGAAACAGGCACTGGAGCAGATTGCCAGGGAGGCTGTGGTATATACAACCTTGGAGATACTAAAAACTTGACAGGACAGGCTTTTAGCAACCTGAGCTGAAAGGACTTGCTTTAAGCGGGGTGTTGGACTAGATGACCCTCACAGGTCCATTTCAGCCTAGATTATGCTGTGATTCCATGAAGTTTTCAAATATATTTTTTCCATTGCAAAGTATGTTAGGATCTTATTGATAAAGGAACCCACCGGAAGCTACCAAAGCATATGTAATTAGAGATAACGAGT